CCAGTGCTACAGCTGGAGTTTAAGATTTTTTTTATCCAGTGCATGATAGACTCTTTCCACAATTATCGTTAGTACATCAGCAGTTGACCTGAAGAAACGAAAACCTTATTGCTTGTCTGAGAAAAGGCCCTTTGATACAATTTACTATACAGTTAAATTAATTCGTGTTCATTTTTAATCATAAAGACCAAACATTATACACTAAAAATTTAGTAATTAAGGACAATCGTAATATACCGAAAATTTCAGGTCGAGGCTGTAATAATAACTATGTCTTTTTTCAACAGATGAAAAAAGATAAATAGAAAAGATATGATAAAGAAGAAAAAAAGAAAAAAAAAGAGCCAAGATGATCAGAATGAAATAAAAAAAAAGAAATAAAGAAAAGGAAGAGAGAACTCAGGAGTAAAATTTATAAGAATTAAGAAAAGATTTAGAGGAACAAAGAAAAAAGATTAGTTTACAGACAAAAAATGTTATCAGATGTAGTCAGAAGAAAACAAACAAAATATAAACAGATTACGAAGAAGCGTGTAAAAGCCGGGCGACGACAAATAAGGGGAAGAAAGAGAAAAATGAAAGTGAAAAAAATGATTGTTTGATTCGACGACGTAAGGGCGATGTGTTTTAGGCGCAGTTACAACGGCATGAGAAGATTTGTCCAATTAAATAACACAAGAATTTGAATAGGTTTTATTGTATTAGTGAGGATTGCTGCCTTTATATTTTAAGATAACACCCCCCCCCAACAAAAAAGAAAAACGAGCCTAAAAGTGTGCATAAAAGACATCTTTGGAAATGTTCTATTTCAATTCATCTATTATGATTCTGACGTCTTTGTTGACATACAAATACGCATGCGCGTCAGAGTAACAAAACATGCCACACACGCGAAGGCAATTCCACATAAACAGACGGATGTGCGCACGCCTATGGACACACAAACACAGACGTGCGTGCGCTCTCTCTATCTATCTCTCTCTCTCTCTCTCTCTCTCTCTCTCTCTCACACACACACACATATACACACACACACACATATATATATATATATATATATATATATATATATATATATATGAAGAAATATAGTTGTATGATGCGATATAATTATGGGATAAAGTGCTCAATATCAGAGATAGAGCGTATGTAAATATAAATATATAAAAGTGAACATTGAAGTCAACACTCAGAGGCAGCAGGCTGTTTCATGCTGGACGCAATCGTCAGGCCGCGAATGCTGGATTTTTCCTCGGCTATTTATATATATGGGTCAGTGCCGCATTCTGGCGGTTATTTTTGCGGGAGTCACTTGTTTGTTCTTCATTTATTTATTTATTATTTTGGTTTAATTTATTTTACTAGCTTTTCATTTTCATTTAATGTTCAATTTTATATATATATATATATATATATATATATATATATATAATTATTTATTTAAAAATTATAACATAGATATATTATAAAATCACTACAAATAGCCATTTTGTTTCAACACCTCTGGTGTCTTATCAAGTGATGATGTTGAATGCAGATTGTAGAATAAAGGTTTTAAAAGGTTCAAATTAATTAAGGGGAAACGCTATTACATTAGCTGAAATTACCTATCAAAATACAAGTATACGAGAATTCAAAAAGCTTGACAACAAAGTAAGGTTATAATAACTATTAAATGATTTCAAGTTGGTTTTATACTAAAATAGAATTTATTATAACTATTAAATTGTACGATAAAATGTGAAATTAAAATTAAAAACTACCCATTTCAAAAATGTAAATTTAATCTATATTAAGTTTAAAATTTTAAAATTATTGAGGAAAAAAGAAAAAATACTGTATGTATTTTTTCTTTTTTCCTCAATAATTTTAAAATTTTATTCTATTTATTTTGTTTAATATTGAAATTACGTTGGAATAAACGTTAAGATCGACTGCCCTTAACTTAATGGCAACATGGATACAAGTGTAGACATGGGATTATGACATCTTGGGGAAAGGCAATACAAACACAATCAGATTATACTACATAAGCACGCAGACATATTTAGATATATACACACACAAAAAAGTGACGAGAAAGGAAATATTTGCACGAACTTTTAAAAAATAAATAAACCTCATACATACACAATGAAATGTGCATGCAAATTACGTGTCTTTTTCGGTGTCTGTGTATAGTAACTTGCATGCATACATACATGCATATATATATATATATATATATATATATATATATATGTGTGTGTGTGAAGAGATGTTTCGTTGTATAGTTTAGACATGTTCTGTCTACTTACTTTTGATAAAATCCTTTCATACTCGCTGATAAGATTTTTGGCGTCGTTATTGAAGGACGGGAGAAAATCACTGTGTTGATACATAGACATTTCGGATGTTGTAAGCTCCGACCTTCTTCAGGTAATTGAACCGACCCCTTTATTTCTTTTACCGGGGTAGATTGTTCTAGTTCCACGGTTCCATGATACTTCTGGATATCCCAGTATTAGTTATCCCCTTTTTAACTCAACTCCTCAAGTTTTTATTCACCTCAGTTGCAGCCAGGTATTGAAGTCAATGGCTTAAATCAATCAATTTAACCAACGCTTTTATCCACTAGGAGTTTAGTTAAAAGGGAGTTAACTGATGCTGAGATATCCAGAAGAGGTAGGTCACGTGGAACTAGAAAATCTAACCCGTTTGACGAAATAAAGTGTTCGATTCGAAATTCCAATCACCTGAAGAAGGTCGAATCGTACAAGTTTGAAACGTCGCGAATATGACAACAAAAATGAGGTGAACCGTCCGAACACTCTCTGTAACCTCTTGCGGGCTAGTGGACACTGCCGCCTTGCTTGGGCTGAAATGCTTAATATATATATATATATATTGCGATCGTAAGACAAATTATATATATATGTACACACACACACACGCACACACAGACACACACATATATATATATATATATATTTACATTTTGGTTTCAATGTTTCGTTTAAAAGTACGTTTTATTGAAAAGAACAGACAATGGACGTCCGTTGAGCCTCTTGGTGAGTTCTCGTGTCGAATAATTCGTCAGAAGGAAATTGTAATATATATATATATATATACATATGTAAGTATATATATATATATATATATATATATATATATATATATATATATATATATATATATATATATATATATATATATATATATATATATATGTGTGTGTGTGTGTGTGTTTTGCGGGTAAACCCGACCCTACTCGTGTGAAAGCACAAAACACGATGATTAATTTTATTGCCGTCTTTTCGCGTTTCTTTGGCAATACTTACTCGAGTTTTTATGAGACGATGTATTTTTATACTGATGTTAATACGTAGATTTATTCTGTTAGTTTGACATTATTGTAGTTTTTTTTGGGGTTTTTTTGCGTTTTCTTTGAAAAACGTCTGGTCACGGAGAAAGGCTATTCAACTTCTACAGTCTGTCCTTTTGAAAAAAAAGCAAAAAAAAAAAAAATAAAGCTTCGCGACAAGCAACTACATTCAGCGTGGAATAAACGAAGTGGAAAAAGAAACGGCATGAGAAAGAAAACACCAAAAAAGACAGCATCAATACAGAAAAAAGCAACAACAAAAACAACAACAACGATAATAATATGAATGAAAATATTCATAATAATAATAATAATGATAATAATAATAATAATAATAATAATAATAATAATGACCACTGGCTATCCAATCTTCACACAGCAAGGATCTAAAAATGGACATCCTAAGATTGGCCTGAATATTTCTTTAAATATATCGATTCTCTTTCATGCCAATGAATGCTGGACAATCTCCCCACAGATAAAGAGAAAAATGGATACCACACAATGTTGTTCTACAGAAAGATGTTCGGATTATGGCTATATAATGGTGAAACACTGCTTCCGCACGATCACCAAAGTTAAGCAACGTCGAGTCTGTTCCTTACCGAGATGAGTGATCGCTTAGGAATACCAAGTGCTGTAGGCTTGGAAGTGCGACTGCTATTAAAGCAGGCTAACGACTCTGAATTAGAAATCGGAGAGCCGAGTTCCATTTCCAGTCGGGTTTGTTATATTCACTTACACGCCTGGGGAAAGGTATGAATCTACCACTTGTACTCCGCCAATGTAAGTATAGTTGTCGAGTTAACCTGTAGAGAAATGGGGATGATGATCCCAACTTCCAATAAGAGCAATTACAAACTATGGGTCATCTTCTGGTCTTCCCCAGTCTTAAAGATTTATGCACACTTAACGACCTTGGAACCTTATCACCCCCAGGCAAGACTGGATGGGTGTGGTGTAGCGACTCGATAAGAAGAAGACCCCACCAACTATGGTTTAATTAATAAGACCTTTATCATTAATTTATCTTCAAACGTTTCTTACAAATCTAAAAAAAAAAAAAAATTGATTGCTTTAAACAATCTACAAAAAGGTTGATAAACCGTAAAAATCTAATAAAGCAATACAGAACAATGCTAAGATCCATGAAAAAAAATGTAAATAACAAGACACTTATACTTAAAGAGAAGAATGAAATTTCTTGGATAAAAAATGAGTCGTCGGGCTCAGAGAATTTTAAACTCACAGGAGAAGGGCAAAAACAGCAGGGTTAGCGGTCTACCGACCTGACGAATTTGTGTGAATGGATAGCGGAACTGAGGTTCAAATGTTGGTGAAGGGGCAAATATGGATGTGTGGGTGGTGCAATGGATAATGGCACGGTATTATAATCGTTGGGCAGATTTTCAATTCCTGTTGGGTTCGTTATATTCTCTTACGCATAAATACCCTCGGAAAAGGAATGAATCCACTTTCCCCCCACCCCACATTTAAAACTTTGAACTTTTGAACTTCTAAAAATCTATAATTAAGGTTTAGAAGGGTGACTTTTTGGGGATACAAGGAGCTGTAAGCTTGGATGTGCTGGTGATGTAATGGATAAAGGTTCGGAATTATTAATTGAAGAGCCGATTTCTCGTAAGATCACCGAAGTTAAGCAACGGCGAACCTGGTCAGTTCCTAGATGGGTGACCGCTTGGGAATACCAGGAGCTGTAAGCTATGATTGTGCTGGTGATGTAATGGATAAAGGTTCGGAATAATTAATTGAAGAGCCGATTTCTCGTAAGATCACCGAAGTTAAGCAACGGTGAGCCTGGTCAGTTCCTAGACGGGTGACCGCTTGGGTATACCAGGAGCTGTAAGCTTAGATGTGCTGGAGATGTAATGGATAAAGGCCCGTAATTATTAATTGGAGAGCCGATTTCTCGTACGATCACTGGAGTTAAGCAACTGCGAGCCTGGTCATTTCCTAGATAGGTGAACGCTTGGGAATACCAGGAGCTGTAAGCTTGGATGTGCTGCTGATGTAATGGATAAAAGCTCGGAATTATTAATTGAAGAGCCGATTTCTCGTGCGATCATCGAAGTTAAGCAACGGCGAACCTGGTCAGTTCCTAGACGGGTGACCGCTTGGGAATACCAGGTGCTATAAGCTTAGATGTGCTGATGGTGTAATTGATAAGGGCTCGGAATTATTAATTGGAGATTCGATTTCCCGTATGCTCATAGAAGTTAAGCAACGTCGAGCATGGTCAGTACGTATACGGGTAACCGCTTTGCAATAACAAGTGTTGTAAGCTCGGATGAGCTGCAGGTGTAATGGATAAAGGCTCGGAATTATTAGTTAGAGAGCCGATTTTCCGTATGATCACCGAAGTTAAATAACGCTGAGCCTGGTCATTACCTGGATGGGTGATAGCTTTGGAATACCAGGTGCTGTAAGCTTGGATGTGCGGGTGGTGTAATGGGTAATGTCTCGGATTTGTTAATCAGAAAGCTAAGTTTCAATTCCAGTTGGGTTCCTTATGAATCCATTATTCTCATGAATCATTATTCTCTCTCCCCATACGCATACACCACCAAAAATCTCTTACAAGGTAAAAAAATACTAATTCTGGCGTAATATATCCTGCAATGGGTTTGATAAACCATAAAAAACGAATCAATCAATATAACGAACAAATGCTTAGCTGAGCTGCAGTCTAAACCACAGTTCTTCTCTGTGGGTTTTTCAGAAATACAAATATGCCTGTGTAGGCGTCTGCAATAAGGATTAACTAGCTACGCTTGCAGATGGGCAAATTTTGAACCGAGTCGGTATTCATTAATTATTAGTTGTAAGACAAAAAGTTAGGAAGGATAGGCCTATAACTTGGGGCGTTAACATATTGAAATATATTTCAAACAGATTAAGACGAAAATAAAATGGAAATGGTACCACTAGATTTTTGAAATCTTCATTTCTAGAGTAGATTATAAATTATTTCCCAAAATCTATAAAGATGATCGCATGAAAATAATGGCGCGGAATTGTTAATCAGAGAGCCGAGTTCGAATTCCAGTCGAGTTTGTTATATTCCCTTACGCACAAATACCCTCGGAAAGGGTAAGAATCCACCTTTTCTCCCACCATTGGCGAAAATTAAATAAAATGTATTTTGTCTCAATGTCGCAATACTTTTTGTATAAATGTGGAAAAAAAACCTTCAGCTAGCGAGAAAGAACTTTTTAACCTTCTTTAAGGTTTTTATCACAACATGGGATCTTCTATTGCAACGGAATATTGTCTTACAGGCCAAACCATTACGTCTCTCTGCCATCTTAAATTATTAAAGCTGCAACTTTCAATTTTATGTTTTTTCCATTACATACATTAAGTTGCCGACAGAAATGTGCCCCATATCGTGACTTATGTAATAGATATTTCTTACATCAGATAATGGGCCAAGATGTTTACGATTTATACATAAGTAAAATTTATGACATACAGGCTTATATATATATATATATATATATATATATATATATATATATATATATATATATATATATACGACCTTTCCGCTATGGAATTAAATACCGTAAAATGTTATTAATACGCGAAAAAAATTGCTGATTTATTTATTTAGTTATTTAAGTTATTTTATTTTTGTTGATAGGATTTATTTATTTTTATGTAAAAATGATTTAAGATTTGTATCAGCGTGTTTTGTTTCATATATATATATATATATATATATATGATTAAAATATTTTTCGAGGTCTAATTTATGATTGAAGTAAAAACATGCATATGAAAAATGTAAAAACAGAAAGAAAAACATATAATGGCAGTGATTAAGATGGAAAAACAATAAAAGAGAAAATATTGATTTGAATTTCTAGAATGATGAATTTATATTAATGTCTTCAAATTTGTCACAACGTTTCAGCTATTTCGCTTTGCGGACTTCGTCAGGTATCTGTTGATACGGAGCTTCAAGAAATGTCGAACTGCCCATTTTATTTAATCTACGTGGGTATATTCATCTTGTCCCGCTGTCTTTATCATGGCTAATTGTTATACCGTACCTATAGACTATTATGGGGTATGTAGCAATCATCATAATTACGGTAGAATATACTTTATATGGTAGTCAATGGAATTCACTTGGGTTTCAACTTGATTCACATCTAGCAGTTGATTACTTACTACAGGCCGCTGGCGAATACAGTGGAATATACTGTTATATTGGATTCACTACTGATGTCATGCTTGTCAAACTTTCTGCCCGAAGGCAGAGAGAATCTCTAGATGTGGCTATGTTGAAGGGCAGAGTCTCGTCTGGGGAGGTAGACAGCTGCCCGACCCAGTATATGCGGGGACTACGGGAAATTTTGGGCTGAGCCTACGAGCTCGGATACCCCACATGGAATTCGGCCTTGTGCTACATGTAACCGTGTGGGGAGGTTAGTGAATAATATTCACTGTTGATGTCGTGCTTGTCAAAATCTCTGGGCAGAGAGGAACCCAGAAGAGGCAATATCGAATGGCAGAGTCTCGTCTGAGGTAGGTAGACAGCTACCCGACACTGTGTATACGGGGTCTACGGGGAATTTTTGTTCGAGCATATGGGCTCGGAAACCCCACAATAATTCGGCCTTGTGCCACATCTGACCGTGTGGGGAGGTTAGTGAATATATTCACTGTTGATGTCGTCCTTGTCAAAATCTATGGGCAGAGAGGAACCCAGAAGAGGCAATGTCGAAGGGCAGAGACTCCTCTGGAGATTGTAGACAGATAACCGACCCTGTGTGTACGGAGTGTAAGGGGAATTTTTGCCGGAGCCTAAGGGCTCGTTTCACCCAATATTAAATTCGTCCTAGAGCCACATCTGACTGTGTGGGGAGGTTATTGAATATCTTTCACTGTTGATGTCATTTTCGATTCATTTCTGTTATGGGATCTTACCCATAATAATAATAATGGACTATACCATACTTAATAAATACTGCGCCTCAGGAGTAGGCAAAGAGTGAGTCAGTAGTTCACTTTCTGAGCGACTGATCGGTTCAACTCTCTGTCTACGGACGGAGAGGAACCCGAAGGCGGAGTCTCCTTCGGGGAGGTAAAACCGGCCCTGAACCCGTTTATACGGGTTCAAACGGGCATTTTTTGGGGCCGAGCCCACGGGCTCGGGAAACTCACAATAAACAACCCACCTTGTATCACATGTTGCCCCAGTGGGGGGGACTCAATATCGTGAGTCAGTACTTCAAGCGGAGTCAGTAGTTCAAGTCGAGTCAAGAGTCGAGTCAGAGGCAGTCCGAAACAGAGTCGCGTTCAAACAATTACTGCAAGACATTGGAATAGTGGTACTGGTCGAGACGACATTGTTCTCCCTACTAAACCTGATTGTTCGTACTAACACTTTCTACTTCTCTGTATATATTCCTGTTTGTAATATATCTGTGTTATTCCATATCCGTATTCGAGTTCTTCTTTATTGGTTCTACCTTGAACTATCACCGTGGTACAGGGAACCGGACCATAACAATTTCAAGCTCACCACTTAACAGTTGATAACTTACTAAACGCCGCTGGCAAATATTGTATCTTGTTCGTGTTATAGATATTAACGTTCCATTTCCAACCTTCGTTTTTGGTTATTCTTATTCAATAACCTTTTCCTACGTTATAAGAGTAATATAATCTCATTCTTTTTTTTAATATTGCTCAGTTTTTACCCGCCCTCCTTTCACTCTGTCTAAGGCTATACTACCAGACCAGGGATTGAACTCACAATTACTATATTACAAATTTACCGAACAGATGTTTTAATTCATTGGGATGTTGACCCACTATATATACAGAGAAACTGTGGATGACAATATATATGCTCCCGAAAAATTATTTCGGTTGAGCTCTCGTGAGAGAAAACGTGAGTTTGTAAACAGTGACTATTACTGCTACTAATGCAAAACTCTTCGGTAAAACGAATCGAGTTCTCTCAGTCACTGGCGTGTTTATTTAACAATAAATACTCATAAATTCAACTTCAACCCTAGCGTGCGCCAACGACTTAGGGGTAGATTATCTAACTGACGCCATTTCTTTCGCCACAAGTCCAACAAAATTCGTATTAGTTCTACTGCACATAAAAGAAAAATGGTTTAACATCGGAAAATATGAGGAAAATTAATTCCATTTGATATGTGGAAATGACCTCTCTTTGTCTGATGAAGGTCGCGAGACTGGAAACACGTTTATCAAAAATATGGAAAATAAAGTATAATAGATATTTTTAAAAATCCACATTATAACCAAAATCATTTGCGGTTTCTCTTCTTTTTAAAATATACACTTTTCTCTCGTTGGAACTGGTATAACCTTCCCCTTATATATATAAAGTCGACCGACAAGGCACTGCGATTAAGCTTTTTATTTAATTTTCTTGTGTTCGTAATGTTTATTTTTGAGGACATAAAATTTGTAAAAACTGTATTAATGATCAAACCAAACTCGTAAATAATTACATCGGTCACACTAGTAGATGCCTATCCAGACGCCTGACCATAAATCAGGACTCATTTGAACACACTCACACAGATGCCTACCAGACTCCACCTGAAACATACTCTTAGAAAATACAAACATAATAAACTCATCCACATATAAAAAAAAATATATATATATAAAATAATAATATTAAAAATAATGGAAGCAAAAAAAAAAAG